ATCTAACTGTTGTGTGAAGCTGCAAAGATCAGCTGCCCGTCTGTGTTTTTCCTCAGTTTTCTAAGCTTAGTCAAGGAACCCACACAGCCACAGGAAGAACTCCACAGAAGAAGTCTCCCAGTGGGGTTCAAACCAGCCTCGATGCTGTGAGGCAGCAGTGCTAACCACTGATGGCCTACTTGATCAAATGAGGTTCTAGCTTCAGTATGGATGGAGCTCCACAGTAGTTCTGTGATGTGACTTTATTAAAGTTTAATTTAACCAGAAATACAAGTCTTGGGAAATCTAAAGCATCAGACTGGACAGCAAAGACTCGGGACTGTTATTACACAACAAGTAAAAGCTCAGCACCAGGAGATAGATGGGTAAGTCCAGACCTTGTTTCTACAAAATCAGCTAGAAACAGTCCCTGTGAACAAGCTTTACCTCGTCCTGGAGCTCCTGTCTCAGTTTATCCACCACTTTGGGGTTCAGACCCAGGAACATGACCAGAGAGGTGGCTGTGCTGGCTGTGGTTTCATGCCCCCCAAACAGCAGCTCTGTGGCAGACTGCTTGATGGCCTGCAAACAGAAATACATTCAGTGGCTCATATGAAGAAATCGTGCAGACGTGCACTGCAGCAGGTGACCTCCTCATTACCTGCATGCTGATGGGCTCTTTGTTCTTGTTGCTGCTGTCTATGAGCTGCTGCAGGGCGTCTCTGGGTTTCCACTCCTGGTCTGACTCCTGCACCTTCTTCTTGATGTTCTCCTCAATCTTAGAGTGGATGAAGTTCCTTGCTTTCAGACCCTGCAGGAGAGGAAGCAGGAAAGGTGGGAATAGAGGGGGAAACATCAGATGAGGGGAGGAGAGAGAAGATCAAAAGCATCCTAAACGATTTCATCTTGTCCGTAAAGTTTTGTTATTATTTGGACTAACTGTACAATTAAACCCTTAAATATTGGCAGGTCATGCTTCTTACCCTGTACAGTCCACTGAAAGGCACATCGATGGGCAGCGAGAACAGGTTCTTGATCATTTCCTCAAAAGCCTCCACCAGCTCGTGCTCATCGGTTTGAACCTGCTCCGGCTCAAAGCCCAGCAGGACCCTCATGGCGATGCGGAACATCAGCCGCTTCATCTCTGGGTAGACCAACACGCAGGAGTCACGTGCCAGCCA